CATCAATAATTATATTAAGATTCTCTTTAATATCATTTATTGCGGGTGCTGTTGTAATTGGGCTTTGAAAATATTCTCTAATGCTATCAACCTCTCGTGTAATTCTATTTTTTTGGATTGTAGCTTGATTTTTAGGAAGAGATAATATTCGGGGTGTTCCTGGTTGTTGCATTATATTGCAAAGCAATAATTCTTCGAATCTATCTATAGTATCATTAGAATTTTTATTTCTAAGAAATAATCTTTCAGATTTATACAAAACAAGAATTTTTTTATTAAGCTTGTCTATTTCATTTTAAAAAAATGCTAACTGCTTTTATAAATAATCTATATAATTTTCTTGCTTTTTAGATTCTTTAAATATATTTTCTAACTGTTTTATAAGATTAGAAATTTCTGATCTCAATGGGTCTAGCTCCTTATCCCGAATCGAGATTTCTTTTTTTCAAGATAATTAATATAATCCTCTTTTGTGACAAGACCTTGTTGTAATTTGCAGACTCAATCTTGTATTGCTAATAAATCACTTTTAAATTGTTTGATTCTTTCACTATCTCCTCTTTCTTGCAATATTTCTTTGGAAAAAACTAATAAGTTTATCATTTTTTCTTGAAAACTATGTAATTACTATATATTGTTTTTGAGCTTGTAAAAAAAATGTCGATTATTCCTATAATACAAATAGATTCTTGAAAAGCTCATGAACTAAATATATCTATTGCTTTGCGTAAGATTTATTATCAACCTAATGGCTATCAAAGAACTGCGAAAAAATTGTATAAAGCTTCTCTAAAGGCTGGGTTCAACTTTGTTGAAGATGAAGTACATGATTGGGTTAAAAAACAAGCTTTATTTCAAATTCATAAGCCTCCTCCAAGGTATATTCTCTGAGTTTCATTTAATACAATTCAAATTTCTAATGAATGTCATCAAGCTGATATTCTCTATATGCCTTATAATAAAATTAGAAAAATAACCTATATGTTTTGTCTTAATGTAGTAGATATTGCTTCCAGGTATAAAGCATCAGTTTCAATTAGAGGTATTATTCTCAATATTGAAGATTTTGATCTAAAAAATATTTTAACTTTGAAAGCTGTTGCTATAGTATTTAAAAAAATCTTTAATGATCCCAAGTATCCACTTACTTACCCTAAATTATTGTTAACTGATAAGAGTTCAGAATTTAGAGGGAATTGTGAAAGACTGATAAAAAAATATTATGTAAAAATTCAAAAAGCTAATTCTAAACGTACTATGGGAATTGTTGAAAGATATAACCGAACCTTAGCAGAAAGACTATTTCAAATACAAGATGCATCAGATTTGCTATTGCCAATACCTGAAAGATCTAGGGCTTGGGTAAAAAATCTTTCAATTATTGTTAAAGAACTTAATAATTCTGTAACTAGATTAATTGGCATGGCTCCTGCTAAAGCTATAAAAATGAAAAAGATTATTTCAACATCTTCTAAATTACACAATAGATCTATGGGCTTTGATGAATCTAAGCTATCTTATAATACCTCTGTAAAATATTTACTTGAACCTGGTGAGCTAGAAGGTGGAAGTAAAAAATCGACTGATTGCAATTGGTCACCTCAAGTTTATTATATTTGTGAGTTTTTGGTGTAAAAAAATCAGCCTATCTTATATTGGCTTGAAGATAATAAGAGCAATAGACCAAAGCGATCTTTTGTTAGAGAAAAGCTTCAAATCATTCCTTCTGATACAGAATTACTCCTTAGTGGGTGCTTACGAGTTAAAAATATTTGTGGAAAATTTCAAATTGGTATTTGTTGTTACCATTGAATTTGTTTTACATATTAAGAAAATCTTCTGCTTCTTTATTGATAGAGTCTTCTTTGATGAAATAATCTTTAGCTAATTTGTAATATAACTTGTATAATTCTATAATAGAATCATGAATCTTTGAATTATTGCTATACCATGATTTGCAATCATTCATAGTTTTATTATATTTGCCTTCATTAAGAAATATGGTCATAGCTAAATTTAATACATACTTTTCTGGATCTTCTGCTTGGCGCAATTTCTTAATTCGCTCTTTATAGTTTTGTATAAACTTGCCATTTTTGGCTTTCTATAGTATATTCTAGCTTTGACTATATTAATTAAAGCTTGCTTAACTTTTTGGTATGTGGGTTTGGTTTCAGTTATTTGAATTTCAGCTAAGAATTTGGCCTTATTAGTTATTTGAATTTTAGCTAAGGGTTTGGCTTTATCAGATATTTGATTGATATTTTTATTAGTAAATGATATTTGAATATGTAATATGTTTTAATTATCTAAAGTTTTGTATATAATACTTTATAAAATCTTTTCTTTAAATAAATATTTCAGTATATATATAAATGATTAATATACTTGTCCATTTTATTATAATTCTGGTGAAGTTTGTAGAAAAACCTGCATGCGTCCTGAAGAATGTAGTTATCATTGGAAAGCTAAAAAAAGAGTGCCTTGTACTGATTGTAGAAAGCCAACTGGTTCTACTTCTGGTCATTGCCCTTTATATATTCAGGAGTATTATGTAGCCCAGTACTATGATAGATTACAAGCTAAAGCTTTTAAAATGTCTTCTCAATAAATGAAAAACCTGGCTCAAATTTTATTAGTCTTATTATATCCAAAATTTTATTATTAGACTTTTGATAAATTTTTTATTAGACTTAGCTATATATATCAAAATTTTTATTAGACTTAGCTATATATATTGAAATTTTAATTAGATTTAGCTGTGCTAGTAAGTAGTGAAGAATCGACTTTAGAATGAATTCTGCTATAACAAATAATATTTGTATTCTTTTTGATATAAATTTAGGTAAAAGAATATGTTCTAGATATACAACAGTATTGGTATTCTGATTGTGATTTTTGATATGTAAATGATAGCAAACAAGGTAGCATGAATATTTGTTATCTTTTTGATATAAATTTGAGCAAAATATTGTATTTTAGATATACAAAAAAATAATATCACTATGCTGAAGTGACGATACAAACACAAATTTATCGTCATTCTAGTAATGACACGAATACAAATTTATACCCATTATTACAAATGATATCCTTTTTGATATAAATTTGGACAAATAAATGTGTTCTAGATAATTTTTATTGAATTGATGATGCAAAAGCAAAATTATATGCAAGAATATGCAAGAATGATATCACTGTGCCAGAACTCTCCTTTTGTCACTACTCAGGCTAAAACCAGAATATAAAATATGAAATGCTTATATGCGATATATCCTTTTTCATCATTTGTAATTATTTTTGTTTTGAATATTTTCTGTCTTTTAATTGGGGTCTTAGCTGTCCAGGTTTTCATTGGCTTCTAGAAGACAGTTTCAAGGTCTTGGAACTTTGGCGATGAGTGAAAGTATTACAGATATGTGCTGAAATTGGAACTTCGGCACTGTTAGGTTGAAGAGAATTTATAGGCTTGCTTTCTTCCAGGTTTTGTTGGGAACTTCGTGGGAGCAGTGTATACTTTTTGTTTTGTCTTTTATTTTTTTTTTTATTTTTTTTTTCTAGTCTTCATTTTGTTTTACTAACAAAATTCTTTTTTTTTTTCTTTGCTAGCTGATTCCTTCTGGACAATCAACATAAGGCCTGTGGAGAATATTCCTTTTGGACAATCGACATAAGGCCTGTGAAAAATATTCCTTTTGGACAATCAATATAAAGCCTGTGGATAGGGTTCCTAGGTTCAGTTCAGTTCAAATTCAGATTCAATGAACCTGAACTGAACCTGAACCTGAACCACAAATTTTGCAGATCTTTGAACC